TATTTATTTGAAAAAGTGAAAGGTTAAAAAGAGTATTATGGGTTAATAGACAGACGCGTGTGTTACAGAAATAACTACAGTTTTGCAGAGTTCTCTTTAGGGAGGGGAGGGGATTCTTCCTGGCAACAACCATCCTCCTCCCCAGTCCCCCTCCCACGCAATGAAGGCTATGTTACATTTCTCTTGAGGATTAGGATCACTACAAAGTCAAACACTACCAAAGCAAGGAAGTCCACAATGTTGGCATACGAAGAAATTTTTGTTTCTGTACACTAAAATGTCCATAGCCGTGATATCTGTTCATATCATGAATGATAAGCTTGGGCTTCCTGTGTATTAACCAAGGTAACCCAAGCACCGAGAAATCTTAATCTTGTTGTATTATTCAGATGTCCATAATTTGAAAGTTCTGTCAAATGATGTGGAAGCGATGTAGTGTCCATCTAGTAGAAAATGAGAAGTAGAATGAGATTTCATGTCAGAGTGGAAGGAAAAAAGAAAGTAAGAGAATGAACTGGAGGCAGTAGTGTGGAATGCACTAATTATTATGTTAGYAAGGTATGTTTACAAGAAAGTAAGTGAGTGAGTGWCCCACCTGGTGAGATGTCTACACATGTTACTTTCTGTTCATGACCACCAAGGGTTTTYAGAGGAGCCCATCCTGGTTGGGACCACACCTAAAAAAATAACATCAATACTATAAACATCCCAATCATTGTAAATATCCTTTTTTGCAAAATAAGTATTTGTATCTACAAAAATAAAAAAATAAAATAAAATAATTAAGMCATGGTCTATTCATGTTTGACCATGGTTGCCTGGTCGCCAAAGTAAAAAAAAAAAGAGTTGAAATTTCTTTTTTAATTTTCTTGTCTCAAATTTCTCCCTTTTGTTCTTGTGGATTATGATTTGATTTGAGTGAGTATGCCTTCATGGACTATCAACATGTAGTCTTATTGTGATCGAATGGTTAACCAGTACTCTTCACCTACCTTTACTTTACAGTCATAGGARGCAGACAGTAAATAATCATCTGAAATAAACAAACAGAAGACTTGATCAACAATTAGAAGACCTGATCATGCTGTTCATTTAAAGTATGACATATATGTACATAAACAGATTTATCAGAAATTGTGAAAAAACTATTGAAAGGAATGAAAGAAAAATAAGAAAGAAAAGAAAAAAAAGAAAAAAGAAATGATGTGAGATGATTGAATGAATTAATCGATCGAACCTCACCATGGTATTTAACATGCGATATAAGGTTTGTATGAGCTGGTATAGTATACAGACACTGCCGTTTCCGTAAATCCCATATCATAACCTTCTGATCTTCACTTCCTGTAGCAATATGATAACTGAAAATAGATAAAAAAATATAGAATAATGTTGTGAGATATAGAACAGAAAAGTACAAAAATATACTGTACATAACTGCCATTGTAAAACTCATGAATAATTAATGTAGGAAAACACAAAAGAAATCACAACCGTGAAGAGCGTTGTAAAATCCTATACAACACGGCCGCTCGTTTAGACTTACCCATTTGGTGCAAAATCAATACCAAATACTTTTTTAAGATGACCATCTAGAGGCATGATGCATTGTCCTGTTCGTAGATCCCAGACTAGTCCACGTGCATCAAGACCACTAGACAAAATTGATGCATGTTAGTTGGGGGCCACCTTTTAATGTGGGGGGACAGGGAGGAAATGTTGGGGGGTGGAGGAGGGAAGGGGGGCTTAACATATAAAGGACTTTTTATGCATGTTTTTTAGGGACAACAATTTTTTTGGTGGGAGGGAGCGGTGTGAGGGTGGGAATGGGGAGGAAGAGGAAGACTGGAGAGGAAGAGGGAAGAAGGAGGAGGAGGAGGGGGACTTACCATGTTGCACATAGGGATCCATCTATCTGGAATGCTATGTTGTATACTTCTCTACTATGCCCCTCCTATACAAAGAAAAAATATTGCATCATACATGTGTTTGCTCTAATCAAACTGTTAACAAGTTAAAAGTTTATTTTCATACCTGATGAAGTACTTCCTTGAGCTGTTCAAGATCCCATAACCTCCAGGAGTTATCAAAACTAGAAATGGATAACATTTTAAATATTAGAGAAAAGACAAAACAACATTACAAAGTTTTCATTAAAAAAGCCTGCAAGGAAACTTAASCTCACCAGCAAGTTCCAAGAAAACGTCCTGACGGATGATAAGCTAGACGAGATACTCTTTTTTCATGGCCTTCTATGTTTGCAATGGGWGTGTCACTGCATGAGAAAAGAAAATTACAATATGATTCTATTATCACCTAAAATATTGTTGAACAAATGCTTTGCTTACGATTTGAAAGACCACAGCTTGACTGAACCATCAGCCGCACAGGAAGCCATGGATGGTCCATTTTCATCTAAACTTAGAGTTGCTTGAGGGTGAAATACTATTGCGCCAACACGTTCATTATGTCCTATAGATATACAAGTCATAAGTCAGTTACATATYTGTATGATTATGTCAAAAAGATTTGCAGAACAGCAAGCATAGCTCTTTTGAGCAATTTATGATTGGAAAAATTAATATGGACACGATCAAATAAGTGACAAAATAGACTTGCAACCAATGAGACTCTACCTGGAGTAACACAATTWTAATATAGTTATTTTATAATTTAATGAATAATTTATTTTGAGAAACTAGCAAAATGTTTAGAAAAATATAAGCAGGGGGCACGAGAGCTTTTTGAAAGTCTGCTAACAACATTGATTAACAAGGTTACATAAACTGCACCCAASTTTTGCAGCTTGCATTGGGCAATTTGGATTTGCCATGCTTTCTCACAATATTCTTTAGTAAGAAGTATGTACACTTTCATGTACATGTAGGTCACAGCACTGTAAGTTATGCATATAATAAAACWCATATACCTTTCAATATTGAGATTGGCTCACAGTCAGGAACTGACCAAAGTTTGCAAAGTCCACTCCTGTAAGTCAAGTATCAAAAAATTATTGATAGCATGATCAGATTATCCTTGTCCAAAGACATTGATAACAATAAAGGATACCCTCTTTGAAAGAGTTATTAGAAATTAAAACAACAACGGCAAACAAAGGGCACCCACCATGAAGCTGTTGCCAACATTTTTGAATCTGGAGAAAACTGACAATAAGACAGAGGTCTGTCGTCTCCAATTTGGCTGCACAAATTATTCAAAGACTGCAAAGAAGATGAAAAACCTTTATTACATTCTAATGCAGGAACATTTTTTTTGTTTTTACAGCAAAGTTATAGTGTTTGTCCTGGGAAGGTCAGACAGATGTGGGAAAGTTTGTTCAAGAGTTGTTGCACTCCAACTCCTATGTACATGTATTCTTCTGTGTCTAACAGACTATTAGTATCAATTTTTTTTAGTTTAATATATTTTCCTCTAGCACAGACTTTGTTATACATACACAAAGGATAAAGTTATCAACTGCATCAAAT